AGACGATTTAAGATTTTAAATCTGAAACAATATTGTTTTAATGTCTGAATGTGTAAGACTTATAGGTGTAACAATAGAGATGAGATGAACAATAGATTCTCTACTTGATTTTTAAAATAAGTTTGTACAACTTGATCCTGATGCATCTTGTAGCTTACAGAAGGTATTCTGGTAGGTATTCTTTTATATTGACCTCATGTGGTTTCACTGGTGAGTGTGATGAGATCTGCTTCTTCCTGTACCCTTTTAAAAAATGGTCGTGAAAGCTGCTCCTGAACAAAACTGTTGTCACAGAGTACGTGTAGCTGCAGCAGTGGATGAACAACAGTATTGAGGTATCCTCACAGTTGAGTGATGTGACAGTAAATGTTTTTTTCTGAGCTGTTCTGATCTTCCATTTTAGCCATACATTTTATCTTTTGCTTTGGACAGATCAGATGTGAGACAGCTGTGGTATGGAAGGTTGGCTACCCCAGATTCATGTGGTGCTGTGTCTAAGTTAAAGTACTTTTGATTCATGACATGATAAAAGTCTAAGTTGAAGGCAAGTGTCATTAATTTGTTAATGAAAAGCTGTCCTGTGGAGGGATGAAGTGTATTTCTTGCGTGAACAGGCATGTTCAGGATTTTACTTCTTGGGTGAACTCTTTTGTTCCTGTAAATCTTTTTTCCTGCTTCAGTATGTGAGGAAAATTATTGTCTTACATGCTTCACTTTGTTCTTTTTTTCTTCCCTTCCCCTCCATCAGATTTGTAGCACATTGGATCAATCTCTTGCTGCAAGGACTATGGCAGTTGCTACGAGGATTAGGGAGAGCTCTCCTTTCTGAAATATGAATGCGTTCTAGAGGTGTGGTTTGGTTCCCAGCTGCACTGGTGATGGGCAGCAACTGCAGAGGCAGGAAATGCGCAAAGGGCAGCTGTGTCTGCAGCAGGAATGTTCCAGCTCCCTGGTTGCCCTTGCTCATGTGCTGTCATCTCCTTGTTTTGCTAGCCATGAGGATTTTGCTTGGTGTATGTGTCTCCCTCTGGAGCATGTTACCTTTCTTAGGATTGCTTAAAATGGTGTAAAACAAACCTGATGTTAGAGGGATCTGGGCACAAGGGAGCCTGTCCTCTGCATTCCCCTTTGGATTTCTGTGGCTGACTGCAGTGGCAGCTGGCAGCTTTTGCCCATTGTCAAAAGATTACAGTTCAAAAGTTGATGGAAATGCTCTGCAACCTCAATCCAGAGAGGTCCACAGTGTCAGTTTTGTCTTTGAGGCAATTATGAGTGGATTGACCTCTGATCTAAGCAGTTTTTCTGATCAGTTTTTCTGGTCATTTCTGTATTGCAGTCTGTAGATTATTTACATTAAAAACTGAATCAAAATAATATGTTATTTAAGAACAATTGGATGGATTCTAGGTCTTAAAAGAAGTAAGCAAGCCAAATAGCCTTACAGTGATCTATTATTATATCAGTGATAAAGTGTTCACTGTAGAGCATTTTATTATTTATTTTGTTATTTTATTATTCTTTTTTTATTAGTATTACCATAGTTGTAAAATTATTGCCACTTCCTGAGCAGGAGATGAGCAGCATAATAGCTCATACATTTTTTTTGTTTTGTTTATTTGTTTCTGATGTGTGTGACTGAATTAAGTCTTACATAGATTGGAAGAGGAAAAAAGAAATACCAACTTACCAGGAAAAAAAGCCATAAAAATTGAAGATTAATTCAGGCATAAGAATGAAGACATCCCAAGATCAAAATCTCCTCTTTGCTTATAAAACCAGTGTTGCTTTTATACTATCACAGTGGCACATATATTCAGGGACTTCACTGATGTCTCTTCCAGAGCGTGGTCAAAAAAGAAGAACTGCTTTAAAACATTTACTCAGGTGGACCCTGAAGCCCTGCTGAGGCTTATTGGTAATGACCAGTGGGGCAGTAGGGATAGAAACCTGACCTGTTCTGAGTAAATCACGTATAAGAGATGAAATTAAATTAGCTTTATGCTGAAGCAATGTGTGCTTTTTTATTTTTTCCCTCTCCATTTTGTGTTTTATTCTTAGTTCTTAAGTAAGGTCTCTGTCAGCACAAATATCGTGTTAGCCCAAGAGCTGAGTGAAGTGCATTGGCAGGGGGTTCCTGAGGAATTTCCCCTGGCAATGCTAGGGAGGCTTCTGAGTTAAGGGTGTAATACATTTGGGTCAGCCCTTGTGGCTTCTCTGGAAACTTACCCTATGTTTACAATGTATGCCTGTAAAATGCCCTTCCTGCATGATCACAGGAGAGAAAGCTTTTTTCAAACATCTGTCTAGAAGTACTGGAGGAGATTATCTCCAATCGGGGAATTGGACACCTAAGCACTATTTCTAGCTGGCCGAAGGACTCTGAAAACCAACAGAATTGTGTAGTAGCTCTTTGGGGTTGTTGGTGCAGTTTTTGACAGGTGATGTTATAAAGGGAACAAGTTGAATATGACATTTTATTGGTCTTACTTTTCAAAATTAATTTGTGTTTACACAAATTGCTGTCTGTTACAATTTGAAGAAAGTCCAAGATTTGAAAAACCCTGTGAATGGTGCAGTAAGATTCAGACTTGACTGATTTTGCTGATTTTCTTCATGGCCAGGTACTGTTACTAGCTAGTTGTTACGGTTTTTTCAACTGAAATTTGTTAAAACATTTTTTGAAAACTGGTGATGCAGCTGTAGTGATTTTTCTCTCTTGCTGTACGTTAGAAGAAGGATCATGTCTAATTGAATTAAGTATCTAATGGATGTAGAAATAGTTTTGCTTTTCTTCTAAAATATATATATTATTAAAAATGTGAAGATGTTAAAAAACTAATACTTAAAATTAAGAAAAACAAGTTCAATGCATCTTGATACCAAACAGAAGACTGGTATTTCTCTAATTTCGGATTCATATGCTGTGATAGTTTGGGCCGTAGGTTTTTTAAGACATAAGAGGATAACGCTTGATTGAAAAATTTCTGGTGGTGAGCAGAATAAGACAATCTTTGGCAACTACTTGCAGTAAAAAAAGTTCAGTTGTGTTTTCTTAATCTAAATGTATAATTTTTATCTTCAGGATTGAAGAGTTTGCGTTTTATTTTGCCATATATATGTGGGGTTATATATACAGGGGTATTCGCATAGTGTATGATTCTTTTATTCTAAATTTGACATTAGTAAGACCAGTAGGCCCCAAGACATTATTTCCAAATAAGGTTCTTGGGACCATGAGCAGGCAGCCTGGAACATTACACACAGGTGCTTTTACAGAAGTATAAAAAATGGGGCCTTAATGGAGAGAGGGGAAAGCTAACAAAAGAGAGCAAATTTACTCCCATAGGTTGTCAGAGGAACCTGCCTTTCTCAGTGGACTGTAGGTTTTAGGCAGTTATGTTAAACATGTTTCCCTGTCTTGCTCTGACTTGCCCTGTCTCCATGCTCTGTTTTCTGGTATATCACATAGAATGAGATACCAGGGTACGTAATAAGCTGTGGATGGGTTTCCAGCTGGTATAATTGTGTTGTAGAGGCACCGCTCTGCTTGTCTGTCTCTTTTTGTGAAGTTTTATTATTCTAATACCAAGCTCCTAAGCAGCCTTGAAAGAAGTGCTGCTGTTGTTTATAAAGCCAATGAGTTTTCAATGTTTGGAGGGCTTCAGAAGTGTAGAGTGGAGAGCAAAAAGGATGCCCTGTAGCATTTAATGTGACTCAGTGAGCAGCCTGTCGATTAAGATACTTGGAAAAAAATCAATTTAGAATGACCAGCAAGTCACAGAAAAAATAAAGCAAGCCTCAAGGTTTAAACTTTCGGTGCATGCTTTACTCAGCTGTGCACTCGAGTCAATGTTCACAAGTTTATCCTTTAATGTAGCAGAATAATTCTGTAGTAAAAAACCAAAGTATATTGCTCAGGTACACTCAACATTTTTGAGATCACAGCAGTTACATCAGCTGTTTCTCTTAGGAAATATTTCATCTACACTGGCATCCCAAGGTATTTTTGGTGGCTCTTTCGGAGGTACTCCTTCCTCAGTGGATGCCACACAGAAGTCACAGTGCATCTTTTGGGCATTGAACTGCTGCCGCCCTCATTTTTCATGGAAGAGAGAAATCAAGGTATCGAGTAAGCCAAGTGTTTAGATGTTACACAGAGCTCTGTTCAAGTCGAGGTGCCTAGACATAGCCACTGTCCAGATGTTGAGATAAATTGGAACACTCCACAGAGCATGCATTCGTTTTTCATACTTAGTGTTCTAAATTGTTGCTTTGCTATGAGGATTTTTGACTACAGAAGTTAATGGTTTATAAGAGATGCACTTGGTGTGTAATTTCTAACACAGAAAAGTAAGTTTCATTTGTGATTAAGGTATTTTGAAAAGTGAGGTTGCTGTAGTCTGTGGTTGATCAGTATTTTATTCTTTGAAGATTCACGGTGTAGGCTTTGAGTAATTTGTGGATCTTGCAATACTTCTTTGAAAGTATTAGTTCTCAACACTTAAAAGCAAAGATTCACGGTGTAGGCTTTGAATAATTTGTGGATCTTGCAATACTTTGAAAGTATTAGTTCTCAACACTTAAAAGCTATTCCTCTCTTCAGTCCTGTATAATAAAAGTGTATCAGAAATTCAGTAATTTTTTTTTACTTCAATGTTTGATCAATCAGTTGCCTAGTTCAATGTAAATAAAAATGAGGAATTTAAAAACAAATTCAGTCATAGTGAAACATTTGTTACTATTAATTTATTGAGGTAAGTTTGGGGTTTTTTAAAATGTTTGTATCATATGGAGTAGTCTAAAACATTCCAAAAGGATAAATTACAATATCAGAGCACTTGGGCCTTACAGAAAATTTTAAATTCTGTTTACGTAAAATTTCCAAAGAAATGGAAACAAATGTTTCCTAGTTCTGAACACAGGGATCAATTATGATTGATAATTTTTTGTTCAGAATTAGCAGGGATTTTTTTTTAGTTTGTTGTCTGTTATTTTTGCAGGCTGATCCAAAAGAGTTGATTGAGATGGTCACAAAGCATGTTACTCAGTATGCCCAGGCAGACTGGCCTGAAGAAATCAGCAATTTGATAAATCAGCTGCATTACTACAATGAACGACTGCTGGACTTCACTCAGGCTCAGACTCTGCAAGGACTAGGCAAAGGAGTGGATGTGCAGAGATTTACAGCAGATGCACAGTACAAGAGAGAAACAATACTAGGATTGGCAGAGTAAGTAATGTGTATTAGGTTTGTTTTCTCTGTTTCAGAATAGAATAGCTTTAAGCTTTAAATTAGGAGAGTAAATGGAAAGTAGTACTGACCTTTAGAGAGATAATTTACTTGCTTTTGAGATTTATACTGTAGTGCTGCTACAATTGGAGCTTTTTCTGTGTAACTGCTCTACTTAAATGAAATGTTGCTCAAATAAATGGATTTATAATTGAATCTATAACTCTTCATTTACTAACTGCTAATATTAAAGTTAATCAAGGATTAATGAAAGCAGAGCATAGGTGAAGGTTTGGTCTCTTTCTTTAATCTCATGTAAACCTGCCCTAGCAATCTATTAGGGTATGCCCATGCATCAAAGTTTGGAATGAACTCTAGTTGAAAAAAACAGAAAGTTGTTAAACTTTACTTTATTCTTAATAATTTACTTAGAACTGCTGTATATCATTGTATGTTTTTTTTCCCTATAGCCATTTGGAAGTACTTCACCACATATGTTCTGATATTTAGCATGCTTTTATCTTACCTTTCAGAAATACAGAATAGAAAAAAATAAAGATATAGGGTAGTACTTTTCATATTAAAAATACCTCTAATTAATATCTGCATGCAGGTACTTCAAACTGTGAACAAGTCATGAATATGACATATGTTTTAGGGACACTCAGCTGACTAGTTGACAGCTTGTCAGAGGAAGAGTTCTCTGCAATAAGAAGCTTTAAATATAATCTCGGATTTTCAGCTGATGTCTACATAAAGCTTTTGAAGAGCGTATTTAAATATTTTCAGTTTTCCACATGTAGCTACTCATAGTTAAAATTCCAATAGAAATCTGCTACTAAATGGAATCGATATACCAAATAAGAGTAGTTGTATAAGGTCAGGTTTTGGACACTAAGCTGATGCTTTATATCTGTGAAATCTGTACCTGCACATATTTTGTCACTGCATTCATAAAATAGCTTTTAACCATCTTTTAATGTTTCCATTGGAATTGCCTGCTTTGTATATATTGTTACTAAGCACATCTAAGTGTGTCAGTAGGTTACATCTTGATGACTACCTACAGCATCTTCAGTACAAGTATGCTTCTCTTATTACAGATGCTTACTTTGATTATAGCAGGGTTATTTATATTGTCACCCAAGAGTTCATAGATACCGTCTCTTGTAAAATAGAAGAGAAAGTTCCTTACAGTAAGTAGAGGTAAAAATGCAATATGAAAGGGTTAGAAGAAGTAAGGCTACTTAGTAAGTGAGTGAGAGTGGCAGTTCCATATTGGGCAGTTGCAAAGATCCAGTTAATTACTTGTTCAGCTTACAGCTTCCTTGCTTTAATCTTCTCAGTGGAGTCTTAATCTGCATTTTCTAATGGAAAGGATGCACAAACTCAATGTAATTGTGTAGCATATTTGTTCTTATTTTTTAATTAAGGGCCTCATGGTTTTTAATCTTTTATGAAGCGCTGTTTGAAGGAACAGCACCTGGAAAAGATTGTATCTTATTTACAAAATAAGAGTGCTAGAAGGAGCAATTTGTACTAAAACTAGCAATTTGCTAAAACTAGCTAACCAGTAGTTGTCTGTTTTGTCGTCTGTATTTGGTGTATTTCTTTGGAGGCTGTTGTTCATTGGGCTTGCACCAGTCTTGGGGAAGCAACACCAAAATACATCCAAAGTGTGCCTGTGCTGGAGCCTTCAGTGAGGATTCCTTTGGCAGTCCTTGGGCTCACACCAACAGGCAGTCAGGGGTAGGCATGAAAAGGGGTGTGTAAAAGAAAGTTAAAAGATTCTTTGCAAGGTAATGGACATTTTTTTCAGCTTTTCATTGTGCAACAGCTGCTTGTTTTTGTTGTTACCTTGACAATGAATAAAATGCTTGTACTGTTCTTCATTTATATGGTATCATTTCCCTAAACTACCACTGCCTTAGGCTGCTGCTGCATGCTGCTCTTAGGAAGGGAGGATTGTGGTATAGCTTATAAAGTTATATAAAGGAGGAAGGGATCCCACTAGTTGCAGGAGCCACTCCTGATTCATATGATTGACTGGATTATTTTGCAGCTAAAGCATTCATATCATCTTCCTCTTTCACTGAATCACAGAATGGCTGAGCTTGGAAGGGGCCTCTGGAGATCATCTTGCCCAACCTTCCTGCTCAGGCAGAGCCTCCTCAAGGATTCACATTAAGTACATTTTTAAAGAAGTTTTTCATGACAGACCTGTGAGAAAGTCATTACACTGAGATCATGTTTTTCTTGGAAGTATCCTGAAAAGACCCATCCCAACCAAACTGAAACCAAAATTCAAAAGTCCCAGCATTAGCCTTAACAGTATTGCTTCTATGCCAGCCTAGAAACAAGAACCATTTATCTCTATTTGAACCATACTATACTGGGTTAGTAAAGATTAGTATGAAGTTAATTTCAGGCTTTAATATTTTACCATATTCTCCATCTATTGTTTGTCCAAGGGTTTATGCATTAATAGAAAAGCAGTTTTTAATATTTTAGGACAGAGTGAGCTGGATATATTCACACCTTTTAGTCTGCAAATACCAGGAGTATTTGTGTCTGTGAACTACTTGGAAGAGCTTTGAGGATTTGTATACCGGTTGTGCTGAAACACTGTAGGTGTTGCAACTAAATCAAATAAATGCTGTGACAAGTTATATCCTTCATCACTTTGTAACTGCAATGGAATGAAAACTGAGATTTTTGCTTTAGCAGTAGAAGCTGCCGTTGAGAACCAGTGTTTGTGCAATAGGTTCCTGTCTTTGAAATATCTCTGTATTTTTTTTTCTTCTATTTTTTTCCCCCAAATGGAGCACAAAGTATAAGTAAATGCAGAGACACACTTAATGTATTTTTATTTAAAAAATATTTTACGTTCTTGTTTTATAAAAAAAAATTAAAATAAATAGTGAGTTTTCTAACGTAAGCATTTATTTTCATATTACATCTCATAGGACTTAACATAATTTTTCCTTGTTTTCTCTCATGTCTCTCCTCTACCAGGACACTTGAAGAAAATGTCTATAAAATTGCTATTTCATTGGCTCAGCGATACAGTGTTCCACTTTGGGAAGTTTACATGACCCATCTGGAATTTTTATTCACCGACAGTGGGTAAGTTGTCTCCTCTGCAAATACCCATAGAATTCTGTTACGCAGAAATAAATGCTAATGTATGACAGAATTTAATTATATTGGGGGTGGAGTTTGTGTTGTGTTTTCATTTGTCTTGTGTTAGGATAGTATGGGAATTTTTGTCTTTTCCACGTAATGCTTCTGTGAAAACTACTGTTGCAGGCAAGTTTAAAAGTCCATATGTGTTTTACTGTTCTTCAAAGTATTCCAAGACTTTATTTCAGAGTTCAAGTTTCCACAACTTTGAATATTTAGTTCTCCTTTCCAGTAGCAACTTATCCTGCAGTTACCCTTACAATCCCTGTAATATAGCCTGAACCCTGATAGTTTCCCTGTCTTTCAGCGTTTTGCTCTTTATTGACCTCTGTTCTTTGTAATAGAGGAAATAAATATATCCCTATTCACCTTGTGCATCTGTTCATATCAGTTTAATTTTTTGATAGAAGCAGGCTTTTTCTTTTAACAATGTTTTGCTGAAACTGTTCTAGCCTAAAAGATTATGGCAGACCAAACCTGGAGCTGGTGAGGCATAAGGGGAGGAGGGGTGCTTATAATCTCTATTCCACAGTGGCTTCAGGGCCTTTATTTTTAAATTAATTTATTTCTTTATTTTAACCTCTTACATCATGTCAGGCAGTTTTTGCCTACTGAAAGAGGAATAAACCCATTTGATGGAAGACCAGGCTACTTGCCTGAACAGCGCATGCAGATGACAGTGATGTAGAACTCTCTGTGTAATACAGCCGCTCATACCTACTGTTCTGACAGATATGATCAAATGAATTTGGTTTGTTTCAAGTGTTAAATTCTTAAAGCACCTTTAGCTTGCAGCAGTGTTGATACCTCTCTTAACGTTAACTGTTAATTAAAAAGCATTGAAACATTTTATAAAATGTGAGGGATAAAAAACAAAGCCTGGTGAATTGTCTGGAGAAGATGAAATAATGTTCTGAAATTTTCTTCATTTCCTCCAGAAAACAGAGAAGTCATACTCCCTAAATTTTCATGCTGCTAAATTATTTACTGCTTTAAACAAAACAGACAGTCAGGATATAAACATGGCAACACTGGGATGAGTGTGAAAGAGCCAGCTACCTTCTCTGGGACTCGAATATTACCTAAGGTGTTTTGCAACAGTTTTCTATTGTTTTTTTTTTGTACTTGTTCTCCTTGAGTTAGTATTCATAGAATTCTGAAATCACAGAAGTACACAGTAACCATATTTTCTCTAGTGAAAAGTCTTAAAAGTTGATGTATAATAGCGTAATATGCTGCTGAGCATTTTTTTGTATCATAATCTCATTTTAAAATTGATTGACAGCAAACGACCATTACAGTATATCTGAGTCTTGGAATTATGGCATTAATAGTACATGTTCTATTATGCATTCATTCTGAACTGAAATTAAGTTTATTCTAAGACTTAATCTCTTTAACCAAATATGCAGTATTTCTGTAAGCCACTTTACATAGGGAGAAGCTCAAAAGAGCTTCATAGTTTGTATTAACATAGCTTGTATTAACTATTTCTTTGATTATTTGATGACAAAGAGTTATGATATTTCATAAAAATTTAGTGGAAATTTAGTTACTTCTTTTGAGGATCTGATCACATTTGGTAATCAAAACTCTATAAAATGCAGTTTATGATTTCAGCAACATGAAATCTTGTTTGTCTATCACAAAACCTCTTGTTCCAGAATCTTTCTGAACAACACCATAAACTCTTCATATCTGCAATCAGCCCTGCCCTAAAAACACTGCAAACATCTGCCAATCGTTTTCATATAATTTAATGCTCAACTAATTTTTAGTTTGAACTTTGGATATGAACACAAAAAAATAGTCATATCAGGTCCAAGTGTCTGCTTTCCCCAATATGAAGAGTGGATGGTACTTTATTTCTATTGACATTATACTTCTTTTCATTAATATTGTAGAAAAAATAACAACGGAGAAGAATCTATAGAATTAAAAGAATGCTTGCATCTATAGAATCTATAGAATTAAAAGAATGTTAGCCATCTTGGGGTAGGTCATAGATGTAAAAATAACAAAAAAAATCTTATTCTTGCTAAGCAATCAGTTAATTTTTAAAATTAGAAGGTTGTGGTATTTGCTGTAAAAAAATCATCTTTAAGAATGAAACGGAGACATTTTACTTGGATATTAAAGAGAAACACTAACTTACAGCATGTATATTTGGGAAGGGAAATGATGAAATTCTAATTTAATCAGTTTTAAAGTAGAGGAAAATGAAATGGTATAAGAAGACATCAGATTTTGAAATGAAATGTACTATCTAATGTGCCATATGATTGGACTCTGGGGAGACTTGAGGTAGGAATCATCTGTAGGTTACTTCTTTCCTCGGATTTAGGTAAAACTTTCAGTTGAGGAAGATAAACTTAAGATGATATGCACCCATTTTTCTCCCAGTTGAGGGAAAAAGGAGTGATTATCTTTTATGTAGTCAGCTGGAGGTATCTGAATTCATGCTGTGAAAGAGCTAATACATTATTTTCAAAAGATTCAGGAAAGAATTTCCTGAAGCAGTGAGACTGACTGAGGTCAACCCAAGGCTTACTGATAGTTTCATAAGCATTCATGGATGACAGTTTGAGAAGCAACTTGTTAAACTGCCAAAGTCTTGGTAAACTGTCCTAAGCATAAATAATAGTGCCAAATAGATTAATTGCTGGGCAAGAGCCAATTTTCAGTGATAGTATCTCAAGCTGTGCATAGGTACTCATCAACTACAGAAAACAGAATGTAATGGATCGGGAAAGCTTCTAACCGGGCACTAGGATCTTTGAGCATCATTCAGCCTCAAGTGGTTGGTTCATTTGTTTAATAAAGTCTTCCTTTACACATATCCTGGATGTATTTTTCCTGTTACATATAGCTATACTCACAGACTTGAAATCCTGCCTTGAATTCCACTTCAGTATTCATAACCCTTAATTTGCATGTCCAAGGTAACAGGATTGGGAAATACAAGAGTTGCTTAGCTTTTGTTTATAGAGTGTACAATTATTTAAATGTTTGTGAGTGAGACCCTAAAGAGAAGAAAGGATTGTCCTGTCTCCCAGGTGTACAGCTGTAAGAGTCTTTCATGGCATATCCAGGCTTTAAGGAAAAGTTATTTCTAAACACAGGTTATCGACACTGGAAATAGAAGAAAGAGCACAAAGTCTTGGTCTGTTTGATACTTTGAAAACCAGTCCTGAAACCTTTCATGAACACATGGCTAAATATGTTTACCCGAGTATTGAAGGCCAAGATCACCAGCGGTTACTTTACTATTTTACACTCCTGGAAAACTGTGGCTGCTCAGAAGTGGTGAACCATGCTCTTAAACCTGAAACTCACATCCGACTCCTGAAAAAATTCAAAGCAGTTTCACCAGGTAAGACAGTACCTGTTTGTTTATTACTTTATAAGGTAAGTACTGGCATGATTATGCTTAGCTAGTTTATGGGGGTTTTTTTAGGTAATTGTTTTTTCTTTTGTTTTTTTTTTCTGTGAGCAAAGGAGATGAATACAGTTAATATAGGCACAAGTTCTTTCTCTGTGTTTTACTGGAAAGACAGTTTTTTCTTTCACAGTAAGAAAAAACTAGTTAAGGACAGGTTTCTGTTAGTGATGCAAGTTAAAATTATTTGCAATATTTCATAGTAAAATTTTAAATGAATAATATCAAGGTGCTAGAGTATAATTTTTAACACTACAAGTTTAACATAAATATCCTCAAAGGGCTTAAGAAAGTTTACCTTTCAAGAGTCTGATTACAGAATACATTAGAGATTTTATGCAGTTTGTGTTTGTTTGTCTGAAAGAGGATAATTTTTTGTTATGTTTTATCCTTGATATTACGTTTTTCTTTCCCAGAATAACAGCATTGTTTTAGCCCTGCATTTTCAGACAATTACTGTAGAACACACTGCTGCTAAGCATTCTGAATCTTTAAATACTACTTTCAGTTTGCTTATTAGTTGGATACTATCTTGAATTTTAATTGTACAACTCCAAATCCAGTATCAGAATGAAAAATACACACTGTATGGAATTACCTCCTGTGAGGATGAATTAATTGATCAATATTGGAACCTAATGTATATTGGACACTAACTGTGCTGCAGAGTTTGAAGAGATGGTGCATGTGAATTCATGTATTGCAGGAAGAAAAAGGTCAATAATTTTTTTGAGAGGAGGGATAACCCTCAGTTATTATTGATGTTATTCAACAATCAAGTTCTGTGTTGCTTTCCAAAGAAAATTATGCCATGAAATTATTGTTTCCCTTCAAAGTATTCATTAAAATAAAAAAAAGTCCTTGGAACATACGTCAGTCATAAATTAGTCAGTTTGTGTGGTAAAAAATTAAATCTTTGTACTACACACCTAATCAAAATTCTCAGTGTTCAGCATAGGTTGGAGACAGGAGTCAAGGAAACAACAGCTGAGTGTTTACAGAGGTTGCAAGGCCAAAGTATATGCATAAGAACATGGCAATAGAAGTCAGTTACTTTAAAAATTATATGCAAAGAAAATAAAATAGTGTCATTTCTAGAAATACTTGTGTTGTTGGTAAATTAATTGCAAGCATGTTCTTCCTCTGGGGAGCAGAGTAGTAACATGACTCTCGATTATATAAATATTGATGTAAATGGATCTACATGTCCTATCTGTAGCAGACCTTATTTAGTTTACTTGTAGTTAGTGCCTTGCAGTTTTTCCTAAGTGGTAAGTACCAGTTGTTACATGATCAGAGTACATATTTTGTATTATGAAGACTTATGCCTTGACTTGCATGAGGTTTTCTGGGGTTTACATTGAAGTTCTAGCATGATTTTATATACTATATATGTTCTTTCTTCTTTGAGAATCTGCTTTTTGCGGGTTGTGTCATAGACTCACAGAACACTTGGGGTTGGAAGGGACCTTAGAGATCAACCAGTTCCAAATCCCCTGCCATGGGCAGGGATACCTTCCACTAGACCAGGTTGCTCAGTGCCCCACCCAACCTGGCCTTGAACATTTCCAGGGATGGAGCATCCGCAGCTTCTCTGGGCAGCCTGTTCCAGTGACTCACCACCCTCACAGTGAAGGATTTCTTCCATGTATCTAAGTGGAAGAATGGACCTAAATCTAATGGACCCAAATCTCCCCTCTTTCAGTTTGAGCCCCTTCCCCCTTGTTGGAGTGATATATGATGTTAAAATATGTTCCATGGATTGAGAAATTTTGCATGCACCAGGAAAGCATAAAATCTAAGTCTGTTAGTATTTATATAAAAGGGGGTGGGCTAGAGTCTTTTTAGTTCTGCAGATGGTAATGTATTCATTATTTCACATGTAATTGTGGAGTGTGAGTGGATTTAATGATGAATAACTTTTACCTCTTTCTCCTTCTTTCACTAGGTCTTAATTACAAAAAACTAACAGATGAAAATGAAAATCCTCTGGAAACACTGGAGCCCATCCTTACAAGTCAAAATATCTTATCTATTTCCAAACTGGCTCCTAAAATTCCTAAAAAAGATGGAAGCATGCTGTCACCAAGTTCTGTTTATGCTGTGTGGTTACAAAAACTTTTTTGGAATGGTGATCATCATCTCATTAAAAAAATACCAGAAACCGTGGATGAGTGGCTACATGCGTATGATATGTGTTCAAAATACCTTGATAGACTTGATCCAGATGATATTGCTACTTTCATTGATGAAATTACTTTTTCTTCGAAAGCTGTCACAAAGGTAAGGAGATACTTTTAAAGAATTTTAGTCCTCAGGTGGAGCATATAGTATATGAGTTCAATGTAGTATCAAGAAGGAAGTCTCAGGAGATGTTACAGTTTTCATTTTGCAGTATTTAAAGATAAATTTGTAAACCTTCCTCTGCCTACCTTTTCTTTTTATGACAGCTAGTATGGAAAGAAGGGATTTTTATTCACTTAGGGGAGTTAGATCTGTGGATATGAGAGTTTAGATGGAACCCCGAAGTCTCTGTGTGCTCATTCAACTCAAGACACTGTGTATTTCACAGAGTCATTGAGTGCTTTGGGTTGGAAAAGACCTTAAAGACGATCAAGTTCCAACCTCTCTGCCATGGAGGATTTCTGCATTTCTTCTATATATCTTATCTAATATAAACCTGCCCTCTTTCATTAAAGCCATCCCCCTTGTCTATCACTATGGGCCCTGTGGAAAGCTCTCCTGCACCCTCCTTTAGGTGTTCAGGGCTGCTCTAACATCTTCCCAGAGCCTTCTCCTCTCCTTACTGAACAGCCCAACTTCTCAGCCTGTCTTCACAGGAGAGTTGTTCCATCCCTCTGTGCATCTTTGTGGCCTCCTCTGGGCTCAGTCACTGCCCCTGTCTTTGACATAAATGTTAAACAGTGCCAGTGCCAATACCAATCCCCAAGGAGTGACACTTGTCAGTGCTCTCCATTTGGACTTTGAGCCATTAATGCCACTCCTTGTATGCAACAAACCCAGTCAATTCTTTATCCACCAAGGGGTCCATGTGTCATATCCATCTCTCCAGTTTGTATGTCATTCCGAACAGTGTCAAATGCTTTGCACCTGGTAAATGACACCAGTTGCAGTTCCTCTTTCTTCATTCACCAATTCTGTAACCCTGTCAGAGAAGACCACCAGATTTGTCAGGCGTGATATGCCCTTAATGAAGCCGTGTTGGCTGTCACCAGCCACCTCCTGATTTTCTGTGCCTTACCATAGATTCCAGGAGGATCTGCACCATGATCTTGCCGGTCACCACAATGAAACTAACCAGCCTGCAGTTCCCTAGATTGTCCTTTTTTAAAAATGAGGACTATGTTTCTCCTTCTACAGTCAGTGGGAATTTCTCCAGACTGCCACAGCTTCTCAAGTGGATGGACAGTGGTCTAGCAAATTCATGCACCAACTCCCTCAGAACCCACAGAAGCATCTCATGAGGGCCCAGGACCTGTGCACCTTCGGGTTCCTTAGATGGTCTTGAGCATGAGCTTTTTCTGCTGGGGTTTATTCTTCATTCTGCCAGTCCCTTCATTTGCTTTCTGCAACTTGGGTAGCATGGCTGGAGCATTTGCTGGTGAAGACTGATGCAAAACTTATTGACTGACTCTGTTTTCTCTGAGTCTCAGGTAACGCCGCTTCTCATTTCCTTCCAGAGAGGACCCACAATTTCCCTAGTCTTTCTTCTATCTCCAATATGCCTACTGAAACTTTGCGTGTAGCCCTTGGTGTTCCTGGCAAGATATACTTTGAGCAATGCTTTAGCTTTCCTAACCTGATCCCTGGCTGCTGGGACAGTTCCTCTGTATGCCTCATAGGTACCTTTCTTGTTTCCACCCTCTGTAGGCTGTCTTTTTGGTGTTTCAAGAGCTGCTTTTGCATCCCTGCAGGTCTTCTAGCATTTTTGCCTGACTACTTCTTGTTTGGGATATTGTTCCTGCGCTTGAAGGCTGCTAACATTCAATTTCAGCTGGCCTTTTTGGGTCCCTCTTTGCTTTATCCCATGGTACTCTACCAGACAAATCCCTGAATTCCAGAGCAGTGAACTTTCTGTGCACCCTTCTCATTGCACTAAGGATCTTCATGGCTACTGCAGCCCAAGCTGATCTTCATTGTCACATTCCCCCCCAGTCCTTCTTTGTTGGTGAAAACAAGTTCCAGCATTGCACCTCTCCTAGCTGGTTCCTGTATGACTTGAAGAAGGACATTGTCATCAGTGCATTCCAGGAGCCTCCTGGATTGCCTGTGCCACGTTGCATTCTCACTCCACCAGACACTGGTGTGGTTGCATTTATTTACTTATGCTCATCCTAAAATTCATTGCGCCACAGTCTTGTGCTTGTACCAGGCTTTTGCATTCAGAATAAGATGTTCCACAAAGAAAGTATTCTGGCCCAATGCATGTGGTTTCTAAGCATTGTAATAATGTCAATTATAAACTGTTGTAATCTCCATCTGGCTGAAAGCCTGGTTTTGAAAGAATGCACTTTTATGTGTGTAACATATATTACCAGATGTGGAGTTTCTTTTTGCCCAGTGAAACCTACTTGCCAGGATATTTCTAGCATAAAGTTTTGCCCATGCTTTCTTACATATCTTTACTGTGAATCATAAAAGAGAAATGAGATTTCTTAGATTTTACCTTATCAAAAGATCTAGAGATGTCTTCACTAACTTTATCTGAAAGGAAAAGGCAATAAAGTCTCCAGGGGTTTATTGTGTGTATCTTCTTTATTTTGGTTTGTGACAGTTTTTCTGAGGTATTCATACACCATGTTTAATGAGGTGAATTTCAGTTTATTCTGTCTTTGTATGTTTTAATGAATGTATACAATATTAGTATAGGTTTATTAGAACCCATCTAAATTCTGTCTATATCAGAATCTGGTGAAAAAAATGGTAGCTGGGATAATAAGAAACTTTGTCAGCACAGAATTTATGATGTGATCTTACTGTCAGAGTAGACCAGCATGTTTTCTTACTAGTTCTGTCAGCTGTCTCTGAAGCCTTTTTAGCAGAACTGTTATCTTGGTTTAGGTGTTTTGATCCCTTTTATCTCATAAAGGTACTTTTTCATGCTTACGAGTAGTGATTCAGACTCATCCTGAGATCTTAATTGCCAAACTGGACCCTAAACTGAGGTAGCAAGGGCATGGCTTGTCTGATGAGAAGGAAGTGCTGTCTTTATGTATGGTGATTGCAACTGAGTACTTGAAACTCTTGCTGTTAATGTTTCTTGAGTATTACAAGGTTATTTCTCCTTTATTCCAGATGAATGGTGCAAGGAGAGAGTGGATATCCTCCACTGTGTGTCTGTTTTGAAACACCTTGATTATTTTCCTTTGTTTCAGGATTCTGACACATTTTCTCTACCCTCTTGAGAGTTGAGAGAAAAAATAGCATGAAAGAAGCACTAAAGGCAAGATGATTCTGGTTTGTGGTCAGGCAGAATTTTGTAGTAGAGATCTGTTAGCTTTTTGGCCGTGAAAGATGCTCAAGAAGTGCTTGAAACAGTTGGTCAAATCATCTAATGTGCCACTGGGTTTGGGATTGACAGCTTGCAACTAATTTTGCCTCAGGATCCTGTTCAGTTCTCAAGTAGAATTGTACAATGAGAAGTTATCGTTGTAGAGCCTGGAAACTTATCTCTGAGGTCTCTTTCCTCTACCTTTCATCTGGAAAACCCTTCATACATAAAAGCAGCCTTTTGGCTTGCATTTGTTACTTAAATGTTAAGTGTTTTGAGGCTGCCCTGGTCATGTGCTCACTCTTTTAATCTCTAATTCAGAACTTTCTTCCCAGTCTAGTTTTGTGGGCAAATACTTTACAATATCAGTTTCTTACTCCCACAGCAGATGCATATTTAAGTACTTCATGGAAGTGCTGATACTTAGTCAAAATGCAAAAAACCATGGTCTTTATCATGAAATAATCTGTACTGTCCTGAGACAACTGAGTTTTCTCTCATAGAGGAAATTTGAGAGGAAGCTTACGGAGAGATTGTGAAGTGGGTTTTTTAGGAGTGCTGAGAGGTGAACTGGCAAAAAAACCGCAAAAAACAGATGTTGGTTACCCTCACAGCTCTCTCTCACTCCTTCAAAATGTCAGAAGGGGAAGGTGGGAAAGAAGAGAGAGAGAATATTCCAGGGAGATGATGAGATGCACTCCACTGGTATTCTTGTGGAACAGTATCTCCATCAAAAACCACTTTTGGTCAGAAACAATTGAGAAACGTCTCAAGTACTAAGAGGTAATGGGACATTGGTTACATAGCACAGCATAGTATGGGTTAGGCTACATGAGTTCAACTTCAGAGGTAGCATTGCTGTTGTCACCATGTGGCAACTTAGGAAACAGACATCAAAATATCTCTGCTTTTCCAGTATTTCAGTAGAAGTAAGGAGAGGCAGTGGTGGACCAGCAGAGCAATAGGCAGCTGCTTCTGCTTGTGTGTCACTTGGATATGGCAGAAAACCTGGGGGCAGAATGTGTAATTATGCAAAAGGGAATGAAAACACAGGGGTTTAGTGGTGGCTTCTTCAACTCCTTGTTCTTTCTGACAAAGACAGGAATGTTAAGGGTTTTGACAGGGACCCTTTTATTCACCTGTTCCTTTCCACAAACTCTGTGTTTTAGCTTTCTCATGAATTGGGCCAGCAGTGACTGAATGAGCAGCACTTGACTGGGCAAAGGGATTGAGAGACTGTCTAAATCTGGAGAAATGGCTGAGGTGTTTGCATTTATGAAAAGGCAACTAACATTGTTATACTGACTGTAGTTCAGGATGTGACACGGTTTTAGGTACTTCTAGTTCTAAGAGGCCAGAGATTCTTTTCTCCCATGTTTCTTGCAATCAGTAGAAATGAGTTACCATGTGGAAGATGAGATTCAGTTCCCAGGCACTAAGGATTCATGAAGTGGTCACACTGTGTGGTGGGAGCTGGGTGAGCAGAGATGCATCACAGTGGGACTTCAGTAAAGCACAGACCTAAAGTAACATGGTTAATGTAGTTGAGGAAGGTACAGATTGATACAAAATTTTTTTTTTGTGGTAAATGAAACAGGCAAGGACCTCAAGGCTTTGTCAGCACCTTCCTCACACATTGAAGGGCTGAAGTATTGATCCCTTGACCACAGAAGCTCACTGCTGCAAGCACTTGAGAAGGTTCCTGCTTGTGACACTTCTACTCAGATATGCTTTGAACTCTGTATGACTATTTAAGTCTTTCTGACTAAATAAAAAATCATTCAGTCTCTGTAACATTAAGAATAGGCTATTTGTATGTATGGAACAGATTTCTTCCTAAATGGGGGATATTTCAAATATTCATTGGAATGACTGCTTATATTTTTGCATGCATTTTGAATCTGTCATCTTTTTTCCCAGGAGCTCTGTTTGCTTTTAAATAATATTGATGTCATAGTTTCTTAATTATAGCAATGATCATATCAGCTTCTTACCATGATGATTTCCCATTTGTTCCTGTTTCTGTGATCTTTGTGAAGCATTTTAGATAGTTTATGGGTTTGTTTTTTTTTTTAATTCCTTCATTGCCAGCATTTTGTTCATTGTGCTGGAGAGTTGGTTATGTCTTCAAACAACCATCTGTTGTAGAGCTCATAGGTCATTGCCCTGATGAGTTTTTGATTAACAGTACTCTGGAAAAAAAAGCCTGGCACAACACAAACACAACTGAAAACAATATTTTTAAATCACTGTGTTTTCATTATTGAACACACACTACAAATGGAGCTTGGCACAATATGTTGATTAGAATAAGAAAAGGCTACAGCTTTGGATGGGAAAAGCAGAATAAAAAGCAGTGGTATCATCAGTTAGCTATTCTGTAGAGAAAGAGAAGCTGAAATTTTCCTTACGTAGGAACTCTCTTGCAGCCTTCCATAGATTCAGCCATATTCTTTCAGACTACAGCTGATGATGGTTTTTTTTTTAACCTTCCATCTTTTATAACTTCCTTACCAAATTCTGATTTAAAAGATTAAAAAGAACTTTTCTTGCAACTTAGTGATTTTAATTGAAAGGTTGACTTATTTTCTCTGAGTCAGTAATACTGTTTTGACCATTTTCTTTTCCTTTTTGCTTCCTCAAGCAGGAGTACAATGTCCACATTTTGACCACATACCAAACAGGTGTGGAATGAGAACTTATTATAACTGGACATTAACCTGCATCGTTTTCTTGCCTTTAAAGACACTGAATGCTGTTGAAAATAACTGTATAAAAAAAGCTCAGTTAAAAAAAAAAAAGCCCAGAATATTGTTCACTATCTTTTGTCTGGCTGATTGACTTAATGCTATATAAAACACTAAGGATAAAGACAGGGCATGGCATTGCCTGAAGGTGTACAAGAAATGTTGTTACATAGCGTGACTGCATTCAGATGTTACTTTTTGAATTACTTGGCTTCATTTTATGACTGCATTCCAGTTCAGTTGGTTTGCCTTGCCTGACCTTGTTTTGTTTGTAGATATTGACAGTACTTCTTTTTCTAGTATCAGTGCAAGGGACTTTTCTTGTGCCTTTCATTTATATAGTTATTTTAATTAAATCTGCTTCGAGAGTGTGTAATAGGAAACTTCAGTCTTTTCTTTGACTGGCTTCTTAAACTTCCATTTAAACTTTTTCCAAATGAATTTTACAGGGTCCAGTAGTAATGAAGTTAACTTTCATCATAGCAGCCTCAGTGGGGCTGTGCTTTGGATTTGTAACTGAAACAGTGTTGATACCACTGGGATTTTGACTTGCTGAGCACTGCTTGTACTGTGTCAAGGCTTAATTTTTATCTCAACACCTCAGCCCTGAGTAGGCTGCAGGTGGGCAAAATGTGGTTAAAGGACACAGCCAGGACAGGTGACCTGGGCAGCCAGAGGTGTGTTCTGTGCCATCTAATGTCATGCTCAGTGGTAGCAAACAAAGAGTTGGGTGAGATCAGAGGGATGGAGCACCTCTCCTCTAGGGAAAGACTGAGAGAATTCAGATTGTTCAGCCTAGAAAAGAGAAGGCTTTGGGGTGACCTAATTGTGGCCTTCCAATACCTTAAGGGAACCCACAGGAAAGACAGAGATGGATGAGAGCATGATGGAGACAGGAAAAGAGGGAATGGCTTCCTAATGGAGAGTAGGTTTAGGTTAGACATTAGGAAAAACGACTGCCCAGAGAAGCTGTGGATGCCCCATCCCTGAAAGTGTTCAAGGCCGGGTTGGGTGGGACTTTGAGCAGTGTGGTCTAGTGGAAGGTGTCCCTGTCCAGGGCAATGGGGTTGAAACCAGGTGATCTCTAAGGTCCCTTCCAACCCAGGCCATTCTGTGATTTGGCAGCAGATACAGGAACTGCACCCAGCTGTTCCATCTGAACATCAAAACCCATTTTTCATTACGAGGGTGAGTGAACACAAGTTGCACAAAGGGGTTGTTGAGTCCTCCCACATTGGAGATATTTAAGAGCCACCTGAATGTGGTCCTTGGCCACAGGCTCTAGGTGGCTCTGTTTAAGCAGATGCTCTTTGGTGGCCCCTTGCAACCATTCTGTTTCACTCTTGCTGGGATCCCAGGTTCCTGTGCCATTAAAAGGAGTGGAGCTGTTACCATAATCTCACACTTGCATGTTAATCAATGACAACTAGAGTAGCAGGGTCAACATCTTCACGTATAAGTAAATGTTACTCATAATATACTTTATTAAGAAGTACTTATATACTCTGAGGAGAATAGGCTTATGAGATGAGTTTTTCACCCTGAGGGGTGAAATCTGTTGAGGTGAAATAGTATGTGATGTTCTTTGATTTGAAAAGAGATTTTTAGGATTTTTTGTTACACATTATAGCTTATAGATTTAAAAATCTTCTTAAACTATAAAAGCTTTTTAAATATAAAACTTCACTTCACATGCAACCAAAGCTTAAACTAACCCCTAAGCTACATTTTTATCACTGGTTCTGATACCAAATCTCATTACTGAAGCAGATTAGAAGTATGGAGGAGAGCTATTCATGGTTTGGAATAAAACAACCAGAGAAATTATATGTTCTTAGTGCTGCATTTTGGCACTATGCAAATGTCATTGCAAAATTAAAACAGGCTTGTGAAAAAGCTGTATTTTCTTTCTTCATTTTTAAAAATGCCTTTTTCTTAATGCCTTTTTCTGCATGTGCTTATGGCAACTTGACTTCTAAACTGGCAGTATATTGACACTGTTCTCTAGGATGTAAGTTAGATGGAATACTTAAATTGTTTGTCTTTTGCATCTCTCTTAATTGCATTTTGAACATTAGAATGTACACTAGAAGAGGAAAAAATGAAATATGTAGCTGTTTTCTTCTTTTATCATGTTTATAAAATCCAGCTGTGGTTATTAGATTTTAATATGATGTAGAGGCTATGAATTTTTCCTTGCTTAGAGTAAAACCTGATATTGAGGCCTTGGTCACAGTAACAAACTCAGTTGCTTTGAGTAGGAATGGAACTCTGTTGTATTTGAAACTGTATGGTAAAATTCCCTTTGCATTGTGTTAAAACTGTCAAACTTTGTTAGCTCTGACAATTTTGTCCACTCATTTTGCTTTCATCCTTAAAAATATCCAATAGACCATTAGTTTGGTTCACATTAACAGCACAAAAAAACAGGAGTGAACTATAGATCTTTCACTTGTGACTTTTTATCTAGGGGAGGGAGGGGAAAGTATGAAAACGGCAAAACTTTCCACTAAATAATCCTTGTCAAACTTCTTATGGCTTTAGAAGGTGCTAGTTTAATTCATGCTGTAAACATCTCTTGGACTTTGTATGAATAATGCTGTAGCAGTTTATTTCCTCTCTTTATTTCCTATTCACTGTGTCATACAGATTCAAGCATTTTTTTAAATTTATTGTGTATTTCAACTTGAAAGTTAAAATTGTTTATGTCTCTGTTCAGTATTCCAGTAACTAAAACACCTGATGTTAAAAGCACCTAATGCTTTGGGTTTAGAGTTCAGGCAGAGGACACTCCCACCCATTGGAAAGTACATTGCAAGCATTGTTAAAACTGTACTTGAAGTTGCTACAAATGAGCAAATGATACATTAATGTCTAAAATCATACTTCAGACTTTGTCTTGGTCTTTCAGCCCGAGCTGAAAGACCAAACAGGAAAGTCAGTCTTTTCCCAAACAGGAAAGTCAGACTTTGTTTCAGTTTAATGCCTAGATACTGCTGGTTGTACAGGTCTTTAATGTATGGTTACTATTTTGTTTAACTTGGGCTTTAAATAGATTGATTTAAAATTTCTCCTTATGGATTTTTTGCTTATGGTTATGGTCTTACGGTCTTATATTTTAAACAGTGGTCTAAACCTGACAAAACTAATCTTAGGTGAGTTATCAGTCAGTCTTGTAAAGCAACTCTCAGACATCTCTCAGTGAAGAATTAAAAATCAAAGATTATAAGTTGGCAGTCCACAAAAATAATTAATATAATTTGGAAAAGAAGTTCATATGGTTTAAAATGAACATGAGTCAGTAAAAAGAAGGACAGCAGAGGAAAGTAAAGGAATACTGATCATTTTAATAAATGACAAGTCAGAAACAAAGTTGTTTCCCATTAAATACTTCCTTTAGTTTTATGCTGTGTTGTGGAGCCATCTGACCTCTTGGCACTGCTGTAATACAAATAGTAGTGTAGAGGTAATGAATGAATAAATAATTGAGCAATCTTTTTCAGCTGCCAGTTGAAGCCAGGATAGAAGTGACTAAGAAGGCTATTAAGGCAGTCAAACATCTTTCTGAGAAATCAAGAAAAAAAACTTCAGATAATGACATGAAAGATGCTGAAAGCCCATCTGCTGCTTATGAAGAAACACTGAATCATTTGCAACAATCTCTTGCTCATCTGGAAACACTCACTCACACTTTCATCACTTATTTGAAAAGCAGCAAACAGGTAATGATTACTGATCAAGTGCTTGCTTTGAGTGTTACCATGACTAGCAGTGATAGACATCAATCTTCTGTCATATTTTATTAATGTTTTCTACCTTTGCTTTTGTTGACCTGGGTTTTGAAAATTCAGTTCCATCAATCGTTTTTTTCCCTCGGTATATGTTAATTCCTAGCAGAAAGGAAGACTGATACAGCCCTGTAAATAAAGGAGTACACTGATTAGTGTTCCAAAAACTGTCTGTTCACAGGATACACTACAGAAGTACGGCTATTTATATGATCTGTCAAGGTCGGAAAGAGAAAAAATCCATGAGCAAGCAGTAGCCATGTGTATAGATGGTCAGCCCCTGGACATGGTGCAGCAGTTGTTACAAGTGGCTGTTGGAGATCTAGGCCTTTCTCCCCAGGATATTGTCCAGTGTGCTATCAAAAAAATAGTAGGTCTGTTAAGGTAAGCACACTTCCTTAATTAAGCACAAAAATATTTCTTCTGGATTTTTGGAAGGTGTTTTTTAGATGGTTGTGTTGGTTTGTTGTGGGTTTTGGTTGGTTGGTTTTTTTGTTTATTTCCAGTGAATACTTGTTTGCTTTTAATGTCTGGATTTTGCAGTAACAGGAAAGTTTTTTGATTATGTTTTTGTTTACCTGTAATTTCATATTATATTTTTATGAGTTAGGGAAGCCTGAGCAATTTGAACAAAGTAAGACAGAGCTTACAGGTGCTTTTAGTTAAAAGCATTGGCTTTACAGCATTGTTCCATTATGTGTATGCGCCCTTGAGAATTTTTGTAACATTTACAGCAGCACATAATTCTTCATTCTTAAACAGAGTTAAAAGGCATGTTTATTGGAAATGGTAACTCATGCAGGCATTTGGGCAGCAGAGACCTAGTAAGAGCTTCTGCCACAACAGTGTGTCCTACCAGAAGTCATACAATTTCCATCTATGGAAAAACAAGCTGAGCCATTTCTGGGAGCTGGATTTTTTTTGTGCTGGTTGGTTTGGTTCATTAGAAATATTTTATTCCCCCTCATTTTTTTAAGAGAGCACAGGGAAGCAGGGAGGATAATTTTATATCATCCATTTTAAATTGAACAGATACTTCTCATTTAACTATTCATGCAAAACCCTCTTCTGAAGTATTTCTGTTTCAAAGAGCTGTATACATGCATACGTACAACAAGTATGAAAGAGTATTCAGCTGTTAGATGTCTGGTAAATACTTTTTAGCAGTTCTAAGACCAGTTTAGAGAAATAAAACTTTGAGAATTTATCCTGTTGTTCTGCATGCAGAAAAATTATATGGGCAGGATGATCTGAGTGCATACACGAGGAGTTGGAAAAGAAGTCTAGCATGGAAAGTTTTCTGTGACTCTACTTTTTCTTCAGCATGTATGTATATATTACAGCAGATTGAAGTGCCACAGATGAAAAGAAGGCAGCCTGTCAAATTGTTTGCAGTCCTCTTTGGCAGAAAATTGATTTCTCCTGTCACTCAGTTTAAGAGTGTTCACAGCATCCTCAATGATGATAGAGCTTTTGCACAGCAACATAAGTAATAGCCTTTCTTGTCTGGGTTTGTCCATTTGAAGAAGAATAATTTAGCTTTAGATAATAACTGTCCTGCTGTTCCTGACTAGCAGTGTGATGTATCTGGATACAAAGCTCACAAAGTCCACTTATGTTGACTATAATGAGTCTCATTAACATGCAGAGTATGAGAAACCTATCAGAATTCTCCTTTCTACTCTGCTTCTTATCAACACATTTCTGTGAACTGAATTACTTTTTCTTTATATGCATTGCAAGGCTGGGATGGCTGCAAGTTGATTTAAAGTTCTGGGACAGTGACTGTCTCCAGTAACTCCTATGCAACACTTGACAGGAAAGAGGGGAATGACTGTCTCATAGAGAAAATTGTAGTGGGCAAATGAGTTGGAAGTTTCAATTAAGATGGTTTGGTGTGTTTTGTGACCTTATGTGGTCAGTAGATATGTTCCACTCCCACTCGGCTGCATTTTTTGGGAAAGGAAGAGAAAGAATTTCATACCATTCTGAACTATGAAAAGTTTGTCTACTACAGTGATAAAGAGCATGAAGTGAAAACCTAGCATCAGCTAAAATAGAAAATATTTGAGATAATATCCTCCCTATGATGAAATTCAGAAAGGGTTAATATTATAAAGTACTACCTATAATCTGAATATAGGGAGGAATTAAAAGAAAGGTTGTTACTTGACACCTCTTAAGCCTACTGGTATTCCTTTTGTTGATGTGAATAAAATTTGATTCATCTCTATCCTATGCTCAGATGTTCACTTTCAAGGTACAACACAAATTACATTTTTTTCAATACTTGCATTTCTACAGTTAAAGAAGTAGTCTTGCCTGTGTAGCTGGGAAAGCAAACTTTTACTTGATAAATGCAACATTTCAAAGGAATACCTTTTTTAGGTTTATTTACTGGAGCTTTGATATGTTATACAGTGTGGTTATTTCATACAGTAGAGATTTTGTTGGAAAATTCCTTCTTTGACAATTAACCTTCAAAGTAGCAGTTGGAAGGCTGTGACACTGAACTTGGATTTTCTATAGCTGTGGTGACAAGGAATGTAATTAAGGTATTGCAAACACAAGTGAAGGAGGCCTATATGGATGTGAAAAACTACGGTAGTGTCAGTGATTTGCCTGATAATTGAACAACAGTCCACCACTTCTGTGACTGAAAATACACATTCTTTCTTTTAGTCGCATTAACTACAACCACCCTTCAAACATAGTAAAATATCTTTTGTTGTTAGCATATATAGTCATTCTTGCAGAAGAACCTTCTAGGAAGTAACGTTTCCATGAAAGCTGAAGTTACTTTTTGGCTTCATTTCACAGCAGTGTATGATGTGACAGGCTTAACAACTTCGATACCTTCTCAGAAACAGATTTTTTGTCAAGTATAACATAGTTACTTGCCTAATTCAGGATTTTGTAATTTGTAAATTTAAATAATTAAATTTTAATTTTAAGAGCAGTATTGTCCTCCAGTTCTTTTAACTACTGTCTCCCTTTAACTATTGTCTCCCTTAACTCTCCAGTTCTGCCACACAAAATTCAAAATAGAAACTCTTGCATTGGTATGGGTAAAAGCTCTCCAGCAGAGCATATTTTCATATTTTACATGTGCGCTTCCTTGTTTGCCTGTAGAAATGACTACTATAACTAAAAAATCAGTTGCATCTTCAGTAGAAACCATGAATTTGTGGAAAACAAAACAAAATATTTTAGCAGCTATGGTCTCCTGATTAGTCTTACCTAAGATTGAATTTAATTCCTTGCCTAAGATCACTGGCATGGTGGATAGGAAGCGTTCCATGATCCATGACTGCAGGCATGTCCATGGTTGGTCAGTCAGGAAAGACAGTTTGTCTTCTGAAGACTTCATGGTCTCCTTCACCTGCTGCTCCTAGAGTTCTTCTCTTAGATGTCCACAGGGATGTAGTGTTTAATGAAATTTTGAAAGCATTCACCAGGCAGTGAGCAGGAAAGGTTTGGTGAAATTTTGAGTTCCTTGTTTAATGCCCACTGTTTTCTGAAGAAGGTAAATCCAGCTTTGTTAGAAAGAGTAGTTACATTAATGCGAAAAAAAAGTCAGATTTTTTATTACCTCATCTCATTTGAGCAGGGGTAATACAGAGTAATTTTGTAACTTGTATATAATGATTTTTTGGTATTTTAGATGGAAATGATGGTTTACCATTAAGACATTTATCCCTAGCTTTGAATGATAACACCATTAGCCTGTTACTTCCTTATTTTCCTCATATTTGAATATGACAAAGCACAATCAGAAAGAGGAAAATAAAGCTGGAGTATTTTCAATGAATACAGTAATTAGGTTAAAAAAATTAGATTAAGTTAATTTATTCTTCCAAGCATTCTTTGTACTTTATTCTGTTTGAGGAATGTGATTAAATATGCATCACTTTTTCTGACACTGAACTGAAATCAAAATAAGCCTTTATCAGTGTAATTACAGCAAGCTCATACCTAGGAGTTTTGAGGTGAACACTAAATCATGTTCTGTTGTTTAAAACATGCATAAAATAGCATATAATCTGTGTGGAAGACTAATCCTTCATTAATTATATTTGTTTCTGTTAGTAGCTGCTTATTTTTAATCATTAATTATTAAGAAAAGAACAAGGCAGTAATCTGTGGAAACTTGACAGGATTATTTGTCTCAAGAGCTGTCATCTCTTTTTAATTCCTCTAACCATTAGGCAGTAAAGGCAGTATTAAGCTTAAAAAATCGCTGCCTTTCAGTCTTTCTAGATTTTTAAAATATTTCCTTATTCTAGATAACTGTAGCTTATTGCTTAGATTAACCTTTTTTCTCCTTTCCTTGTGCTTAGTAAAAGACATCTGTCTGTGTCTGACAAACTTGAAACTTCCTGTAAATGTTCATACATCAGTCTTTCTGGAAAATCAGCTTCATAGATATATTGTCAGAAACAGTGATTTTTTTGTTTTCAGAAATGCCCATTAGCTTTTGCAGCTATGTTTCTTTTGACCCATTTTATGTTGGGTTGGTTTGTTTGGGCTTTTTGTTAGGGGGATTTTGTTTTGTTTTGGAGTATTTTTGAGGAGCTCAGAGCCTGCTTGTGACAGGTGCTAACAACTTTGATTTCTGATTAGAGAGATGAAGTTTTTTTGAAGAGCAAGGTCTAGGACTGTCCAGAACTGATCTCTAAATTGAGGATGCCCAAAATATAAGGTTTGCTGGTCGGTTTCCTTTGATATGGTAGTTGTTAATGTACACTAAACATAAGTACTAGTCGAGCAGTAAGAACTCACTTTCTGTACACTGTACAATCACATAATAGTTTGGGTTGGAAGGAACTAGTAAAAGTTATCTTGTGCAACACGCGCTACAATGAGCAGGGACACCTTCACCTAGATCAGGTCACTCAGAGCCTGTCCAATCTGGCCTTGAATGTTTCCAGCAAAGGGGCATCCACCACCTTTCTGAACAACCTGTGCCAGTGCCTCACCAGCCTCACTGTAAAAAATTCCTTCCTTATATGTAGTCTGAATTGACTCTCTCATCTGTCACCATTTCTTCTTATAATCCTCCTTTACATATTGAAGGGCTGCAAATGTCCTGTTTGTTTCTGTTTCAATATTCATTCTCTTCTTAGTGTGCAAACTTTACAAGTATTCCTTTTGATACACCGTGTTAATGCCCTTTGTAGATGTGTTTTTATTACGAACTTAATTGAAAAAAGGACACAAAAAAATGGAAAATTTAAATCTGGCTTGTAAACAAATCACTACCAAAATGGCTTATAAAAAGAGCGTTAATGAAGTGCTTTATATCTGTCTTCACTCTAGGGATATATAATGAATTTTTTTAGCTTTTTATGTTTTAAAGGAAATTGAAACCATCTCCTAATGCATGTAGCAAGTTGCATAAAAAGATTATTTGAATACTGGTCTGCTTTTTACGATTTCCACACTTCTGCCGTAAGGGTGTATTTTTTTTTTTCCTAAACAGAGTGTTCAGTTCTGTTATGTCTATTTTCCATGAAAGTAAAATTTTTTTTTTTTTTTGCTGAGAATGAATTTTTTGTGTGTTTTGATAGTGATGGATTTTATATTTTGGAGACATATCATGTCTCTGAGAGTTTAAAACCCTGAATATTTCTATATATTCTGTGATATAAATTATAATTTGACTGTTTCCAGATACTTTGAAGATGTTTAGAAAAATATAGAGATTCAAGCTTCACTCATAAAAAAGTTATTTAGCTACTATATGCTAATACTGGTACTAAGAACAGCATTTTTATCAGTCATATGTACAGTATCTTTTGAGAACAAGACCAGTGTTAAGAGCCTTCTACTCCTATTTCAAACTTTAGGAGTGCAACATAATAATATAAAATGAGTATGATGAATTTTAATCATGCAACAAATCATCTTGAATCTGTTCTGAATAGATTCATATTGATTTTTAATCCAGTGTTGTTCACTGGAGTGGTGGCCACTTACTAAGATAAAAATAAGAAAGATGAAAATTCTGAATGCAGGAAGACACTAACGGTTATAAAAATTTAGGTGTCTATGCTGTATGGATATAATCACTGTCCAGGAAATATATTTGCCTTTCTGATGTAATAAATGACAAAATTGGAAATATTCTCTAACTCTTGGCAAAAATATTTTGGAATATCACGGTAATTTTTGCACATTACTATCAGCTGTGTAGTATTTTGGCTTTAGATAGAGCAGTCAAAATAGTCTGGGCACGTGTTTGTTTTTGGTAAGAGCAGATCCAGGAAGAGGACGATATTTTTAGTATCAGAAGAGCTTTGATATGGTGATGAACTATAGGAAAAATACACTTTTTCTCTGGTTTTTCAAATGATCTGCAGTCAGATAACTTGGTAACTATTTGCCTTTTTTTCTCTTACTTGAATGCAACTTTGACAAACTAATCCAGGCAAAGCTGTTGTTTTTCCAGTTCATCCAGGCATCACTGCTGCCACAGTGGTTTCAGTGGTGGGACACTGTGTGTTGTACCAGGGCAAAATCTTTTCACCTCTCTCAACACTGAGTCTGATTAATGGAAAATGTTAGCTGAAAATGTCACTTTCATTGAGTTAGGAGTAAAGCTTGCTTTCCTACCAGAGTGGCTTTGGGTTGTTTCTTTCTTTCTTTCTTTCTTTCTGCACCCAATTTTTACAGTCTTTTAACCTGCAAAAGAAAACTGTATTTTAACTGAAACATCTGATGGGAGTGGTGGGCATTTTTCTATTCCACACGTGCACAGAGGCTGCTTTTCCATCGTGGCTTGACCCCAGAGAAATCAGCAGATAGGGTAATACCAACTCAGGTTACAGTTGAGCTGCTTTAAACCAACAGAGATACTGCAAGAGGATTCAGACAGAAAGGATGGTGACATTTATGTATAACTTCAGATCTGTTTAGTTCATATTAATCTTTAAGGTAGTGAGATTACAAGTGAATATTCTGCTGACCTAATTAATCTGTGTTAGAAGCACTAAACTTTAATTATGTTTTCATTTCAAGTTTCATTTAAGAGTTTTAGTATTTTTTCCCCCTCTTTCTTGTTGCTTTTTGCATTACTCTGACATAAAAATAAAGATACTAGTTAAGAAGCGAAAATGGAACATTCTTATCATTATTGAATAATTCATATAAATCCTACAAGTGCAAAAAATGAGATACAGTATTAGGGACCATTTTAATTGTAACTTTGTCTCCCCTTAATAGTGGAAATGGTGACTCATCTACAACAGAGAAAGATCCACTTGGAATCCTTGAAGGTATAATTTCTGCAGTGCATGCAAGCGTTGAAAAAGGGTAAGAGCTTCCTGTATGGATTCTTTGGGTAAGACTTTGAAAGATGCTTCTCATGAAATCTTTGAAGGTACAACACTGAATATGGATGATTTTTCTTCATGGATATATATAATGGATTTGCACTTAATTTTCTAAGACTTTATTCTGGAACAGGCTATCATTTTTTGTGTTAGAAATCGGAACCCTGACAGAAGCCTTTACTTTATCATTTGGAAGAAAGCACTGAACCTAAAATTTAGATAACTGTGTATTATAGTGAAATGAGAAAATGGTTTTTCAGCTGTGACTACTGCAGATTGTATATCTACCAGGAGCATGTCACTGCTTTTGTTTCAATTTAGTTGATAAATTGTAAATTATAATGATTCATTTTCAAATATCTGAATTTAGATATCTAAGTTTGTCCATATTTGTAAAGTATAGTGCAGAAATAATTTCCCAAATGCTATATGATGCTTCACCACATTTTTTCTTCTCTTTCGGGAATGTCCTTACTTCAGATCACATACTGGCGTGTATGTCTCACTGACATTTGCCATCTCACTTCCTATAGACAAAAGGAAGAAACAAAAAAAAAATCAGCTTTTTTCCCCCAAGATGTATAAATGAAGAAATCATGTGTAATAATGATAATAAGATCCCATACTTTCTGGTAACCACACAAAAACAGTTATGCGATTTTTTTGAGGCTTCTGCAATGAAATTAAATGAGTTCAGTGTTGGATACTGAAGTTGACTGAATTGATGTAAAAATTTGCAGTAAATATAATTTGCAGTATTCTAAGGTATAAAGGACAAGTCAGTACTATTTTATTCTGAGATATGCTTTCTGGAGTCTTCTATTTGTATACTTCATCAACATTTAACTGCTGAAACAGTAAGCTGGAGTGAAAGTAATTGTGATTGCCAGATTGTTTATATTCCTTTAAATATTTATTTATTACCTTAAAACTCAGCTACTCAGTTTACGAAACAGAAATATTTTCCTCAGGAAAACATATGTAAGCCTCAAGAGCAAGCTCTACAAACTCTTGAAATATTCCAGCAAGTCCCTTTGATACCCACACTTTTAATATACAGTTTGAATGCCACCTGTTCAGCAAAGGCATGTCTAATTCAGCTGGAGTTCTGAGCTAACAGCATCATTCAGACAATATAAAGCCTAAGTAAAATTGAAATCCTTGTAATATGAAAACCTCAGATGTCAATGTTTATTATTTCATAGCTGCAGGACAGGTTAACTTGGTATTTTCTGTCTCATATTACTTTGCTGTCTGCCTTGTTAAGACAAATAAGAGAACATTAGTTACAAATCACACTCCACCAGGAGCCCCTTGCTCAGCTTCTGTTTTTTTAAGAAAAAGGTTTGCTTGAGTTAAAATATTACTGAAAGTTAAAACAGCATTTGCTGATTGGTACCTGTTAGTTTATAACCTCAGAGGGACAGCACAGATTATTCTGTCTCCACCTGTGAACTGCTTGGTCAGTTCATGGTGATCTGTGAACTGTGAATGCTTTGGCACAGTTATAGTGTATTTGATAGAATTCACTTTCTGAATCAAATTATATACTTAAGAGTTTTTAAAATTAACAAGGTCCAACCCTCTTTTTTTGTTTCTAAGGATTTTGGGCATATTACAGTCATTATCATCCTAAGAACTTAGAATGATCAAGCTGTCTAGAGATGGTACAGAAAAAAAAAATAGGGCTAGAGCTGCAAATGGGAGAAAATAATTTGTGTGTGTGGAATGGAAAGAAGGGGCTTTTAAAGGAAGAAAAAGAGTGCAGGGTGACAGTATGAATAAGCATTCAAAGATAAAAGTGTCATAAAAATGCAAGCATTCAAGCTGGTTTTCCGTAAAGTCAGATGGTGTGGTAGTACAGGCATCAATCAGGCATTCACCCCATGCAAAGGCTTGGATTTCCAGATGCTGAAACCCAGCACCACTGTATGGTACCAGGGTAGCTGGTGAGAGAATATCTGAGTGTACAGATGGATTTCTGTGGTATTACATGGTTACTTGAAGTACAGAAAAAGTTCTTATGCCACACAGCTTTGGACTCCTGATTTACAAGGGCTGGTTTCCCTGCAGCCTCACAGAGGTCAGATCTTCCATTTCCTGGCGTTAGGTATTTCTTACCTACTGAATGAGCTTGTTAAGTTTTAAAGATGCATGTAGTATTTTCACTAGGATTATTACCTGAGATTGTTTAACACAGTGTTGTTTAATTACAGGGAGAAAATAGTTTCTTCAGATGACCTTCTGGAGTGGTTGCGACCTTTCTGTGGTGATGACTCCCTAGCAGTGAAGCCTCGCATCAGGGTATTGCAAATTCTGGAGCAAGCCTTCCATCTCAGTGATGAGGATAGCAAGCTGCTTGTGTACTTCAGGACACAGGCTGTTCTCAGAGCTTGCTGGCCTGAAACAAAGGTATTAATATTGATTGCTGTGAATTACAGCATTAAACTGTTTCATGTGTGAGGATTACATAATGAAATGCTGGTCTGTAGTGTATGGTTGTGATGCATCCTGTTGTCTGGAAACTAATCCTACTTTCCTTTTTAAATCAAGTTTCTGAAACATTCTGATTCTTCGTTACATAAAGGTAAAGGACTTCTCTAATTTTTGTTTGGGATCAGGAGTACATAATACTGAACTTGATGGAACACTAGTGATTTTCCTCTGTGTCAAACACTGACTGATGTTTTTGTACCTTCTTTCTTTTCTGACCATTTTTTTCTGTCAGTTTTACCTTCCCTCTTTATCTTCCACTTGGTGTCACATTTTACTCAGAATTAGAATGGTAATTACTGGCCACTGACCCTTTTTTTTCTTGAGCCTTTAAATAGTATTGTATGAATGTGTAGCAGTTTTGAAATCATATGAATAGCTCTTGCTGCATGTAGAATTGTTCAGAAGCAGAGTTACTTTCTGTTAATTTTCTACGTACCTCCCCCCATGCCAAGACCTTACAGAACAAAAATAGACTATTTCTAATAGTTCAAAAAAAAATCTATGAGCAAACCCACTTTATATTCATATAAAACAAAAGCAATATCTCAGTTTTGACTTGCTGTGCTAAATTCATCCAAGGGAACAATCCTAATAAAAATCTTAAAAGGAAAAGAAAGTACTTATCTCTTGGTTTCTTTGGAAATTACTTTTTCTCTTGTATTTACAGTAATACCATCATTTAATGCCTCAACTACTATTCAGATGTCTATGATTGGATTCTTCACCTTCAGTTCAATCCCTTGTCAGTATTTGTGTTGCCTGTGACTTGCTTTCCAATTCAAAATCATTTCCAGTTATAAAACATTCAACTAGAGTATGTCTTAAGAAAAAAAGATACAGGCAGATAATAGCTTTCAGCCATGTTTGTAGAAGACAGAAGAATAATCTGTATTTGACAGAAGCGTTATGAGACTCATTACACTTATGATTTTACCTTAAATATTTATCAAACTTTTATTTTCTCCCATGATCTTGTAAGTCAGGATGTATAACTTTGCAAAAAGAAACACTCATCCATTTGGTTACAAAACCAAATTTTATGACTTAATTGAATGCATTGGTGGCTTATGTGTAGCTCACTGCCCACCAGAACCCCCAGGGCTCCCTCAGCAGAGCTGAGACAGCCACAGCTGTGCTGTCCCCACCTGTGCTGCTCCAGGTGCAGCACAGCTGTTAAACCTTGTGCAAATTTTGCTGGCTCAGTCTTCCAGTCTATTCAGGCCTCCCCATATAATCAGTTACTTTCATTTTCCTGAAGGGGTTTTTAGAATACTCTTAGTTTCAAGAAGGAAAACCTGGTTGTCTTTTTGGGAGGGAAGAAGTTTGTACTGGCTGAGCAGCAGTTCATCCGCCAGTCACAGAGCTGATGATCACTTCAGTGCTCCACACTTTTGCTGATGAGTAAGCAGGTAGTACAAGAAGACATGTAATAAAGCTTGAAAAATGCACTAGATAAGCTCAAACCTTTCAGAAATATATGAAAATATGTACACAACACTGTAATACTGATTTATTGTATATACTTTTTACTGTTTAGCTAAGGGTAGAAATAGTTTTCATGCTTAACAGTAATGAAAGCAGTGCTTAAATGTACATACATAAAAATCATTGTTTATGCACCCCAATTTCTGCTACAGAGTGCAATAGTCATATTGGAATATATTAAACGTTATTCTCATTTTCATGTCAGCTCAAGCTCAGTGTGGTTGATAAGAACCCTTTCTTTTCTTCAAAGATTTTGTGCTAGGTAAATAATGTGTTATTTAGACAGAAGAGTCGTGTTGGTTTGTCCATTAGATACTTGTCACTGAAATTCAAAGTTCTTCACAAACGTCCAAGAAAATAAATAAGTGGACTTACATGTATTTATTTTGGATTTTTTTCCTCTTTTAGTCAGCTGATGTCAGATGCTAGTCTACAAACTGATACTAGTAAAGCAACTGATGGCCTTGGTTAAGACACAATTTTCCTGTGCAAGTTCACACTTCAGGTGCAAAGACCTTTTTTTACAGGAGGGAGTATTGAAGGTTAGTCAGGTTGCTGCGTAATCCTGGATGAAGAAGTAGACAGGAGGAATCTCATCTTTCAAACTATGTCAGTCTGCCTGTATTGTCTGTAGACATCACTTTCTCTGCTATCGCTACACCTTTATCAATTCAGTCATCCTTTCTCATCCAGCAAAATAATTTTTAAAAAATCACATCTAAAATAAGTGGGGAGGGAAGGGGCTGTGGAATGAATGCTGGTTTTAGATTTTACAGGAATGTGTTTAAAGGTTGTTGCAAATAGGTCAAAAATGTATTCATCATCTTGCTTCCAGATTGTTGTATTGTTACTTGTGTGGCATTTCTTACATGCTTTTAGGGTATCCCTCTTTTCCTATACCAATCCTTGGTACAAAAAAGGACAGCAGATATTATAAAGTATGAATGTGAATTTCTATTTAATAAAGATAATTTTAATGATATTGCAGTGCTCAATTACCAGAAAACGTGTGAAAACCACCCTCAGTGTGCTTACTAATCCTCTTAGACAGGCTTTGCATACATCAAGGAGGGACTTAATATTTAATTATGCTCTAGGTGCTCTAAGTAGTGGTCCCACAAATCAATTTGCTGGGAAACAGGCCAGCTCTTACAAAATTGAAAATGTACTTTATGGAAGCAGCTACCTATCAAACACTCAGAAATGCAGTGATTTCCAGTTCTCTAATGATTAGTTAACAAAATTAAAAATTCAGGGGTCCTCATTTTTCAAAGGCTTGAGAGTCTTTAATTCACATTCCAGTAGCATCCCACGCTATGGAGGAGGAGGAGGCATGCCTTGTTTTAATCCCCTTGATGAATTTTATCTGAGCTCTTCAGGTTCTGTAATTTTCTAGTTAACTGGTGCATGAAAAATATGGGTCAAAATACTGACTTTTTCTATATTAAAAATGTTGGAGGGGGAAGAAAGACATCATTTAGAATGTTGGTATCAAAATTTATCTTTATTCATCTAAGATGGGAAATCCATTTCTTTTCAAATAATATAGAAATATAGTCTGTAATGACTCTGTAGAGCCTAACAAGCCTGAAGTGTCAGCTAACAGGCTCTGTGTATATGTGTGTGTGTGTGTGTGTGTGTGTGCAGTTAGCTGTTCAGCTCAGTGACCCGTTACAGGGCAGAGGCTACAGAAATGAGTTGGGGTTTGCCCCAGGAAGTTACAGTGGCAGAGGTAAAGCTTCTGGAAGTAAACCAAGGCTTACTTTCATATACAAAGTTATTCATTGTGAAGCTTCTACAAGACACACCTTTTCTTAAAAGGATTGTCTCATTATTATGCAAATGCAAAATGTAATTACTACTTGCATGCCACTTAACTGCAAATAGCTTTGTCATTTAGAGAAGGTAATCTCATTTAGCCTTCCCCCTCATATTGTTATATTATGTTTTTTTCATGATCTTGGGGTATAGAGAGCTGCTGAGGGCTAAATGTTTTTGAAAATTAGAAAGAATGTCTATTAAAGATTTAAAATTGTAACTTTGGGCACTTCTCTTTTTTTTTTTTTTTTTTCCTCAAGTCTAGCTTTGAAAAATTGACAGATTAATTGGTATTGTATGTGTGGGATGTGCACAAAACATTTTCCTTCCTTCCTGCCTCTATGGCACTTGATGTATGGCATATGCAAACCTGTGTCTCAGCAACCTTAGTAATGTCTGCATTGACTTTCTGAGAACTTGGGGTGACTGTCAAGACTCCATTGCTGCTTTGTTCGTCTTTTCCCTGTTAATGAAAAATGTGCAGTGAAAAATCTGTTAATGAAAAATGGTGTTTCTTCTTACTAGTTCTTCCAGAATGGTCTCAATGGGAATGTCAGTGTCCAGTGATTTTCAGCTTTTTCCCATTTTCTCTTCTCATGTCAGAGATTTAAACATGAGAAGTCATTTTGCTGAAGACATTTATCAGGTAACAATGACCTGTTTTTAGCTTGATCTGGTATCTGGTAAAACAAAAGTGAAGGAGCTGTATCTGTTTTGTCCTCAGCCATCTTTTATTTGTGAAAAATGCTTAATTAGAAGAAAGATTTATGTTCCTATCAACTCTGAGTAAATTTGTTATGATATTGTTTAGAATTCTAGAGACATTGTTTCTCTACTGGTAATGCATAAAAATTAGGCTTAAGAAATTTAATTTAAGTCTCAATTAATATTTTAAAACACTAATTTCCATTCCTTGAAGATGCAGTTTATCCATATGAAAACACATGATTTTTTTTTTCGGGGAACATAAATTGTAGCGTGTATGATTTATTAAATACTTTTAGATGGAAATGAAATATTTTCCATTAACTACACAAGTATAAGACAAAGTGGAGAGAAAAGCAGCATAGCGTGAGTGCACACAAGTTTTGAATTGAGCCCTGAGCACTGCAGTGCTCTGTGACCAGTAGCAGTTGCTTCAGAGGAAAATAAGAATGCTCTGGAGTGGATTGATGGGGGATCATTCACTTTCTCTTACAGGTCTTTTGTAATGAACGTTTTATGTGCAGAATTGTTGAAACAGTGTATACTCAGTTTTGATCCCAGTTTCAGAAAAATTAAGAGTTTATTAGCAATATAATCAGACTTCTGTTGTTACGTTTCAAAGAAATCAGTGGATAAACTGTGATTCAGCCTTGGGTATCCCTTGCTAAATTTTCTGCATTAGGACACACCATGCATTGCTGAGCACAAAACAAGCTGAAACTTTGTAAAGGAGGGATGCCATCCAGAGGGACCTGGACAAGCTCAAAAAGTGGGCCCATGGAAATCTCATGAGTTTCTGCAAGACCAAGTGCTGGTGCTTCACCTGGACTGGGGAAACCCTTGGTGTCAGTCTAGGCTGGGGGATGAACAGATCCAGAACAGCCTGACTGAGAAGGACTTGGGGGTGC